AGCCTGATTGTAAAAATATTTTTACACCAATGATACATACTATAAATTAGTATAAATTTCTTAAAATAAAAAAGGAAAAAATTGAGCAGATGCAAGAATTTCAAAAGAAGACCTAGCAAAATAAGTCACGTAATTAATATAAAACAAAATTTGAAGATTGAAGATGCAAGCAATGAACAACAAAGAGCAAAAGAGAACAAAAATTATTAAAAGCAAAACAATGGTCTACACAACTTAAAGGAAAGTTAATTGAAGAAACTAACATAAAAAAAAATATACCTTTATCCAGAAAGTGTTGTGCATACAACAAATTTTGAGCATTTTAAAGAACAAACATTAAAATAAATTGACAATGGACCAAAGGCTAAAGCTATTGGTTTTATAGAAGGTAAAATGATATGAAAAGTTTTTTAACATATGGAAGCTAAAAAGAAGTAGAAAACAAAAGAAATTTGTAATGTCATAACTAAAGAATTAAAGTACAACTCTTGGAATTCAAATTATGTTATTATGTATTTAAAATATTATTATTTAATTGGACATTTAATCATTTTAATTAAGTGGAAGGGTAAGACATTAATCCAACTTTGAGGTTAGGATAAGTGGAAGGACAAAATGGTAATCCAACTTTGAGGTTAGAAGCTTCCCACTTTTAGTAATATATGATATGATATTTTGTATCTTTCTTATTTTAGCTTTTGTATTTTTCTTGCAATTCTGCTTCGAAAACTTTTTTTTTTCTCGTGAGCTACCCCACAAGCTACGAGAAAGGTATGTATACACTTTATCTTCCCACGTTTCATTCGTGAGATTATTTTATTCTTCTATTTTAATATTGCTATTGTTTTCTTCACTTCAATAATTGTATTATTTATTGTTGTTATTTAATCCGTTGATTATCATAAACAACATATCTACCTTCATTAAATAGGAGTTACGATTGCAGACATATACACTACATTTTCAGATCTCACTTCTGAAATTACATTGAGTATGTTTATTGTTGTTATTAATTATTTCTATGTTTTTGCCATTTTTTTCCTTATAATGTAAGCATTTGAATTTTATTTGTTTTGTAATTCGGTAAAACCCACAGTAAAATAATTTCTGAAATTTTAGTGGAATATGCTATGCAATTCAGTGTACCGTTTTTTTTAAAAAAGGATAAAAAAAGTTTCCCTTTTTAAAAGAGCTATTTGTCCGAAAGTGAAGGAAGGTTCTTGTGTTTGATGATTTCCAAGAAAACCCAACTAGACCTATAAATATTTGGGAGAATTTGCTAGTTGGTTCTTAGTACTCAAAGAGTAATAGTTATATATATCGTCAGTGAAAATAATTGTTATAATATCAGGTTAGTAGTAACATATTTTGTAAGGTTATCAATTCATGTATGTTATAGTAACTTATATGTTATTATCTTATTAATTACTTGATTGTTATGTTGTTGCTACATTCGTGTTGGATCCTAAAAAAATCAATATTTTTTTGAAGGATTCGACATACAAACGTGACATTGTATGAAAAATGTTGATTTCTTGAATGATTCTTGAGTGCTAAGTGAAAAATGTTGACTTCTTGAATGATTCTTAAGCGCTAGCTATGGTCGATGTAAAAAATATACACACAAGCAAACTATGTTGCTTGAACTCTTCAAAATTGTTGCCACAATCGTGTTGGATTCTCCAAAAAAGGACTATTTTTGAAGGATTCGAGCAACATAGCCTGATTGTATAAATATTTTTACACCAACAATACATAGAACTTAAAGACTCATTCTCGAACATGTGCATTGCACGTGTATTCTATGTTAATTAGTATAAATTTCTTAAAATAAAAAAAAATAAAAAAGGAAAAAATTGAGCAGATGCAAGAATTTCAAAAGAAGACCTAGCAAAATAAGTCACGTAATTAATATAAAACAAAATTTGAATATTGAAGATGCAAGCAATGAACAACAAAGAGCAAAAGTGAACAAAAATTATTAAAAGCAAAGCAGAGGTCTACACAACTTAAAGGAAAGTTAATTGAAGAAACTAATATAAAAAGGAATATACCTTTATCAAGAGAGTCTTGTGCATACACCAAATTTTGAGTATTTTAAAGACAAAGCATTAAAATAAATTGACAATGGACCAAAGGCTAAATCTATTGGTTTTATAGAAGGTAAAAGGATATGAAAAGTTTTTTAACATATGGAAGCTAAAAAGAAGTAGAAAACAAATGAAATTTGTAATGTCATAACTAAAGAATTAAAGTACAACTCTTGGAATTCAAATTATGTTATTGTGTAATTAAAATATTATTATTTAAATAGACATTTAATCATTTTAATTAAGTGGAAGGGCAAAACGGTAATCTAACTTTGAGGTTAGGATAAGTGGAAGGGCAAAATGGTAGTCCTTTCAGATTAGGAGCTTCCACTTTTAGTAATATATGATATGATTTTAGTAGTATCCAACCAACAACATAAGACAATCCATCTTCATCATGTGTCAATGTCATTTTTCAGTTGCAATATGATCTTCCTTATTAGCTTAAAGAAGTTTTCGATCAATGGTAAAATTATGAAATTATCTTTGCGTGGCAACTAGATGTTATAGGATTGAATCGTGGAATCAATAACTTGTACTTGCATCCAGTGGCGGATCCAGGATTTAGAGTCCGGGGGTGCCAAATAAACTTATCGATTAAATTAATTTTATATTTGATTAAATTATTCGCCTTTTCGATATATATCATAAATCAATCAATAAAATATAAATAATAAGATATTACAAATCCACACTCCACACTAAAAGCATGAAGTTAACAAATTTAAAACTTTCAATAATATTACTATTTACTAATATTATAAATATTCAACATTCATTTACAATTGTCCTCGACGAGTTTTCATATTCTGAAAACGATCGATAATGACATCATTACTAACATTTATAAATACATCACGCTCTATGTAACACACTAGACAATCATTTAATCATTTATAAATACTGATCCAGCACACCATAGTAATTGTAAGCAGTGGCGGATCCGCCAATGATCCAGCACACCATATGAAATCAATCATCACTAATTAAAACTTAAAAGAACTCAAGAAATAGAAATAAAAAAAAATCTTACAAAAATAGAATTGCAAACTTACAATCTATAAAAAGTTGTGGATGGATGGAGAAAAGTGAAAACAAAAGCACCCAAATGAGGCTTAGCCGCTGAACGGAATGCTAAGACGGGCGGGGGGCGGCAACGACAAGAAGTGATTTGGGTTCGGAATGGGGTAATAAATTTTTTGGAGAAGTTGAAACTCTTCAAGTGAATCTAAATTAAGGTCATCTATAAGACTAGAAGGATTGACATTCGTACTAGAACTTGCTTGAGAATGGTTAAATTTCACAAGAAACTTCTCCATCTCAATTCACAAAACTAGAACACTTTCCTACAAAAATTAAAATTCAATTCAACTCACAATTAATTCAAATTTAATAGGGTAAGGCATAGTTAATTCAAATTAACATGATTCATATCACACAATTTTTAACCAATAATGTCTTACAATGTTCATTAGAAATTTAGAATATCAAAGTAAAATCAAAACTCTTGTCTAATATGAAATCAATCATCACTGATTAAAACTTAAAAGAACTCAAGAAATAGAAATAAAAAAAATCTTACAAAAATAGAATTGCAAACTTACAATCTATAAAAAGTTGTGGATGGATGGAGAAAAGTGAAAACAAAAGCACCCAAATGAGGCTTAGCCGCTGAACGGAATGCTAAGACGGGCGGGGGGCGGCAACGACAAGAAGTGATTTGGGTTCGGAATGGGGTAATAAATTTTTTGGAGAAGTTGAAACTTGGAGGAAGAAGGGTTTGGAAATAGTTGAAGAGAAAGAGAACACTTCTAAGTCAAAGGAGTAATGTAATTAATTTAATTTAAGTCAATAACAATTATAAAATAAAATAAAATAATGTGCCAGCTGTTTTCCTTAAAAAAAAAAGGGGCTTGGAGCCTTTTTTTCACTTTAAAAACGTCTTCAACAATTTTTCAAAAAAATAGGTTCAAATGGGATTCGAACCCGCAACCTCAACCTTCTAAAGTTGCCCTCCTACCATGGCACCACAAGCCTATTTTGTTCTGTGGGTGGCACACTTTATATTTATATAAATATTATGTATATATACCTATGTATATATAGAGTTTCCGTCGAAGTTCGGGGGTGGCGTGGCACCCCCACTGCCCTTCATAGGTCCGCCCCTGCTTGCATCAAGATGTATAGATGACCTATATCACTTTTATTGGAGGTGTAGTTCTTTCTTAGATCCTACGTGAATGCGGAATGCTTTGTGCATCAAACTAATCTTTTTATGATTTTTCTTACTAGCAAGGCAAGAGGCCAGTCACACTTGTGTGAGCTCATATCAAAGTTGGCTGCCTACATCACATTTAGTTGGGGTACAATTTTTTATTAATTTGCATAAACATATAATGCTTTGTGCATCAAATTTTTCTTTTTATAATTTTCCTTGATAGCAAGGCAAGATTTCACCTTCTATTACTATTAGTGAGTTTCGAATACTGAATGGTTAAATTTCTAGCATATTGATTTATTTTTTTAAAAAGGAAAAGACTTTTAAAATTTTGTAATTTAATTGACTAAAAAATTCATTAAAATAGATTAAAATTGATTCTTTCCTTAATCAATTTTAAATCAAATATGGCAAGTCCCATTATATACGCAAACCGCCACAACCACGCAAGGAAAACGCCGTCGTTTTCATCTTTTAAGTTACTCCACGACGTCGTTTTATTACCCAATCCAAACATATAATTACATAAATAATTCATAGAGTTTTCTTGTGAATTTAAACAAAAATCATTAAGTTTCGTGTACGATTCAGAAATCAGAAAAAAACCCCAATTTGTTCTCTGTTGAATTCTGGTAAAAAAATAATTATAATTATGATTCTTGATTTTGATGTGTAGAAAAGTTCATATATTAAAGTTCACCTTTTTTTTTGTTTTCTTGCATTTTTGAGTAAATTTAGAGATACCCTTTTGCTTGAATTGCGTTTATAAGTGTATATTTATGTGATTCTGATGTTCTTTAGATGTTTGAAATTTGCAGTAAGAGATAAAAGTTTGAGTCTTGCAATGGCTAAGAGTTCTTTCAAGGTTGAACATCCTTTGGGTATGTTTTCTTTTAACTTTTCTTTGTTGAACATGATTTGATTATGTTTAAATTGAATTATTGGTAGACAGAGATGATAAAGTAGAGGGTCTTTTGGAAATCGCCTCTATACCTTCACGAGGTAGTGGTAAGGTCTGCCCCCTGACCCCATTAGTGGGATTTCACCGGGTATGTTGTTGTTGTAGAGTAAATGTGTGCAGACTTAGTGTGTGTGTGGATTATATGTGTATACATATAGCGAGGATAATTATTGAGCGGTGATCAATCAATCTATTTGTATGATAATACTAGTTTCCTATATAAAATTGTAGTGTCCGGTTGAAGAATAGTTGTGCTATAGCATCCAATAGTGTTTATGTAGGTCTGTCATTTGTAGACATACATGTGTGTGTTATTGTCACGACCTAAGTACAGGGAATGTATTGTCCGCTTTGGGCCTAGGCTGATAAGGATTTGTCTTTCAAGAAGGGCCATATCGAGCCATAAAAGCACTTACCGTGTGAACTTGAGCTATGTCGTATAAAACTCTTCACTTTCCTCTTACATTTTGATGTGGTTCGTCTAAGATGTCATATGCACCTCATCTTCAGAAGCTCTCATTAGCTTGCCTTCCGTCAAGGGAATCAAATACACCCTAATCAGTCCTAGCTGAGGTTTTCCCCTCTCTTACCATATTTTTCACGATCCAAATCCATGGCACATATTGTCCGCTTTGGACCTAGGGCCAAACGGATTTGTCTTTCGGGTTATGCACATTGGGCCCTAATTGCGCATGTACTATGTGAACTTGAGCTATACTTTATAAAGCTCTTCACTTTCCTTTCCCATTCTGATGTGGGATTTGCCTAAGGTGTCATCTGCATCTCATCTTCGGCCAGTCCTGCTTGACCCATCCTCCGTAGGTGGCGTCACAGTTAGTTTGCTTGCACACGCTGTTGGTGCAGCTATACCCACCATCCAAATGCTACATCAGCTTATGTTGGTAGGTGCCAGGATGTGGGTAGTTTAGTGATGTTTATGCTTTGTAGCCGCCTTGTTACATTGTATATATTTGAATATTTCTAGATGCCTCTTTGAGGGTAAGTTAATTGACTAAAGCTAAATATTTGGTAAAGCAACAACCAGATATCATTGAAGTTTTAATCTATATCCTATCATGGTCTGATGGTATATATATGTTTTGTTCTTAGTCTTCCTGAATCTAGGAATATATCTGGTGCATGAATTCATTACTAAAGTACCAGGGTATAATTGCAGATTTTAGCTAAAACGCAGCTTATTCATATAGACAACACTAACTAGTTGAGATAAGTGTGTCAATTAAAAAATTTCTAATTTGCCTTAAAAGGTAATATTTAGTATGGGAATGAATTGAGTGGAATAGCTGACCCCAACTGATTTTGCAGTTGATATTTAGTTGATTGTTTGATAATCTGATTTGGGATTGCCGACTAGTATAGGAAGTGATGGTTTTTGATGCTTTTCTTTCCATATAGCTTCTAGATATCAGATGTGTTACCTGTTCTTATGATGTTCTTTTCATTTTCTTTCGAGCATATCCATATTTACTTGAGCTGATAACTTCCTGGCATCTCCCTTCCTAAGAAAAGCCGGGGAATGAGACAAAAAGGGTGTATGTAATTTTTCTGATGTTTTCAATGTTTGTCCTTTTTAAATAGAGAGGAGACAGGCAGAATCTTCTCGCATTAGAGAGAAGTATCCTGACAGAATTCCGGTATGATATCTGTTGTTAAAAAGGTCTTACTCTTCATTGATACTTCAATACCCTTATTTCTCATGGCTATGTTTCCCATTCAGGTGATTGTTGAGAGAGCAGAAAAGAGTGATATCTCCGACATTGATAAGAAGAAGTAAGTTGCTTCTGTGCTGTCCGATTATGATGCTTGTTAATAATCAAGTGCTCAATTTTGATACATTAACAACACCAATTTTCTGTTGATAGATCTTGTGAATGCTGGTTGTAGTAACACAAGTTTGGCAGAATTTGTCTCCAGAAGTGATTATAAAATAAGAGTATTTAATAATGTAATGATATTTTAATGTGGTTTGTCATGGTCGCCTCTACAAGGTAAGAGTGAGATCGGGCGTTGGTGCTAAAATAACTAATAAGTAGCTCTATTGGTATAATATATGTGTGGGGAACAAACAGTCTAGGTACCTCAAGTGTTTCTTCCTTTTGCAATTAAACACAGGCTGATGCTTGAGTTCCATGCTACTTGTTACGCAATAAACTTCAATATGTTATAACAGAATTAGTCTCATATTACTTGATTGTTGCCGATTGTTAATTCCTATGTATAAGTAGATCCGACAGGACCATTATTTACTTGTCTTACGTTGTGACATAGGTACCTCGTCCCAGCTGACTTGACTGTTGGCCAATTTGTTTACGTGGTCCGAAAGAGGATCAATCTCAGTGCTGAAATGGCCATATTTGTCTTTGTCAGAAACATTCTGCCTCCAACTGGTAAGTGAAGTAGATTATAACATAAGGTCTTGATACTTTTCCAAGACATTTGTCTTTGACATATCTTCCTTCCTTCCTGTTGCAGCTGCTCTGATGTCTGCAATTTACGAGGAAAACAAGGATGAAGACGGATTCCTTTATATGACATATAGCGGTGAAAATACATTTGGTTTCCTCGAGCTTGGGAATTAATATTTCAAGTTAACTATCTGTATTGTAAATCTGCTACCACTTTGATTTGTTCATGGATGGTTTAAGATGACTTGTTTTTTGTTAAAGAAATGCTCATAAAATGTACAGATGACAAGTCTTTGCACACTTATCCCAATATCTCTTTTATCTTCACTAGTATTGTTGTATGACTTCATGCGCCANNNATCCTCTATCCCCCACCCCCCCCCCCCCCCTACCCCCCAACCCAAAAGTTTTTGCTGATAAGGCAGAACTTGTGGTACAAGTGAATCTAGAGTTGACGGAATTAATCCATGAAATCATAACTCACCCAATCTGCTTAAGTTTAGGTTGATTATTGATCCGCTCATTTATTAGTTCAATTCATTTTAAAAACTCAACTCATTTCAGTCTATCGAAGTTTGAGTTGATATCTATATTGATTCGTGAAAAGGGGAAAGGACTAAAAAATTGATATGGGATCTTTGAATGGTCTCACAAAAGGACCATATAATTAAGACAACTCTTGTTTTGTTTTATGTATTTCTATTAATTTTCTTAATATAAAAGTATGTCATCAAAGCGTTTGTAGTCCAACGGTTAGGATAATTGCCTTCCAAGCAATAGACCCGGGTTCGACTCCCGGCAGACGCAAATTTTTAAACCTTTTTTTTGTATATATAGGAAAATGATCTATCACGGTGTGATGTATATAAATACTTTTAAGATAATAAGTATTTTTAAAATACTAGTAAATTATCATTATTACTAGGTTGTGGGATGATTCAAACTCAAGGGGGTAAAGTGCATGATAGCATGAATACCCGATTTTGATGTTATCATTTAGTTTGAGTCAATTATATATGTTTTTTCGCACATATATTTATTTTAGAATAACTTAAGACATATGATGTCATTGGAACTAAAGTTAACCATATGATGGTCAATGTGTGGCAAAAATAATTTTAGTCCAATTATTTTTAGTTGAGTTTAGGAGAAAATGACTAAAGTTTAATTTGTCAAGCTTAATTTCAAACTATATCTGAAGTAGATAATATGTGCAAAGTTTTTGAGAAGATGAGTAAAAATAAAATGATGATACCAAAACAAACTCTGTGGTCAAATTTCTTATTTTGGGACTTCTATAGAAATACACGAAATAAAATTCATATTTATAAATTATAATAATTCACAATACATCAAATTTATTTCAAAATATTACAACTCAAAATTTTAATAATATTGCATAAACCAAGTGTAGAAAATTGATACGACAAAATATAAGATATTTAACCATTATTATTAAATAGAGTAATATTTTAATTCCCTATCAACAGCTTTCTTCAAGAAACTATTTTCTTCAAGTACCATTTGAATTGGCAAGAACCCTAAACCATTAGCCATAGCCATCATCATCTCCTTCATCTCTTGTTTAAATTCTTCCAAATCCACCGTCCCGTTCGAGTCGCGATCGAATTGAACGAAGATTGAACTATAAACTCGAGAAACCTCGTTTGGATCGGTTTTCACATCGATACCAAAATGTGTATCGAAGACCCTCAACCCCTGCAATCAGTAGCGAAATCAAAAATTTTGTTAAGAATATTGCTCAAAATTTAGTTAGACATTTTGAATATAATTTTTTTGATGATATTGTAATTTGACATGTGGGGTCTTAAGAAGATGATGTGTACCCTGACCTTATTCCTATCTACAATTGTAAGGTGAGGTCGTTTCTAATACAAAAAGTTTTAAAAGGGTAATAGAAAATAATCTTAAAAAAAATTAAAAATATACTTTATAGAAAATAATCTTTTTGAAAAATAAAATATTCTAGCTGACTACCCTTTAATCTATATGGCTCTGATCCGCCCTTACCTGCAACTCTTTCAACATTTCTGAATAAGAAAGTATGCCATCATGATCTTTATCGAGATTGTTGAAGCGCTCAGCGATGAATTCGCTGAACGCTTCTTCGTCTTCCACGAAGCTAAGGATTGTGGCACCATCAAGAACCTCTACACTCATTTTGTGGTGTTAATTTGTAGCTATTGGAACACAATAGTCAATTAATGAATATGAATAATTTGTAGCTTGATATTCTATTTATACTATATGCTTTTTGTCAAGTATTGGAAGACTACCAATTTTGAGTTGGTAGTTTTGTCAAGTAGTACTTGTTATTGTAGGAGTCAACAAGACTAATAAAAGTGTGTGTATTTTGAATTCTTGCACACAGATTAATGACATAGTCGGTTGGTTGGTTGTACGGGTGTATATGGATCAAGTTGATTTGAATTTTGTAAATATTGAATTAAATTATTTATATTGGATTTTAAAATCTATAAATCAAATCAAAAAAATTATAATTGGGATTTTCAACTTCAAGTTTTTCAATTTTCTCGGATTTTTCGGAGGTTTATCAATAAAGAGCCAATTTTGTTGAAAACGTGAGATCTCGAAAAAATGAAAAATTTAAAATAGAACAAGCTAGTGAATTTCAAATATTGAATGGTCAAAACGAAACAAAAAAAAAAGAGTCATTTTGGGACTAAGAAAACTCAAAAGCACTATATGTTGTTTTAGACACTAGTATTGCAAAGCCACCAGATTATTGGCAAGCATGTAGACCGCGATGGACTATTTAATATTTGAAATCCACTTGTTTATTTTATTTAATGTTGTAAATTTTAATTCGAGATCTCACGTTTTAAAAAAAAAATTCCAAGTTGTATAAGTAGATACAAGATAAATATATGTAGTATTGCTAATCAAGTTTCAAATCACAATTAAATTGTCTTAATCTAACTGTTCAATATTTTTAATAATTAATAATATTAATTATGTAAAGAGTTTTCGTGTTGGCTTGTTGATTTCACTACAATTTTGATTATGTATGATATCTTTTATTATTAATTTATTGGTCCTGATACAAATTTGGTATCTGAAAGAGAACTTCTTTTGGGATTAGGATTTAGGACTTAGAATTGTTAATTACTTATTTCATAAATATAATTTTATGTTAATTTTTAAAACTTTTGTCTTTAGACTTTGCAATGTTATTATATGAGATTACGCAGATTTGAAAATTTATTCGTATTAAATATAACTATAATGAAGGGATAAAACAAAGCCCATGATTTAATTTCTTAAGTTTTATGGATTTAATTTGTGCTATGTTTATGTTTTAGATAATTGTTATTGAGGTGAATTCGAGGTGTGTGGGATCCACACAAGAATGTAGAGATGTTTAGAATCAGAGTTGTTCATCGGACATATCAGACAAATAATTACACTTAATCATTCAACTTATTGGATATCGATTTTTAAAATGTATTGATCAACTAGTCAACCAATAATATATCGATTGATTTGATATCGTATTAACAATTATCGGACAGTTATCGAGTGATGTATCGACTAAATTATAGAACCAACTTACATCTATTCTTTTTCTTTAATTAAAATCACAACAAGAAAATACATATCATTGCTTTAATTAACTTATGTCTCTTTTTTCATTAAATATAGGGAAAACTACATAAATGGGCCACAAAACTCAAAATAATTTGAGGAACTTTCACATATAGCTACTCAAAAATAGCCTAATTATGCTTCGTAGCTATAGTTTGCTAATTACGATTTGTAGCTACATGTTATAGGGAGGAGAGAGGCGAGCGAGAGAGGGCAGAGAGTGGGAGAGAGGTGAATTGTATATGCATATCGGTTAGATAATTGTATATTATACATATGTATTTGTATATTCTGGCGAGAGAGACTGGGAGAGGGAGGAGAGAGGCGAGCGAAACTGGGAGAGGGAGGAGAGAGACGAGCCAGAGAGGACAATAATTTGTATAATTTGCATCTCGTTCGTATAATTCGCAGGTACGTTTGTATAATTCGCGTGTTTTTGTATAATTGAGTAATATAAAGTCTCGAATTGTACAAATATAATAAAACTAGAAATAACTAATTAATACAAATATAAACATATGAACTTTAAACAATATACAAAATATATTATACAAATTACATTATATAAATTATATTATACAAAATTCAAAAACTACACGTTTATACAAACTTTAAAAAGTTAAACACAAAAAGATTGAATGTATTTTGATGACAAAAACTGAAAAACCAAAGAAAAATCATCGTCATATACAAATACAAACCATCGTATACAAATACAAATCAAACAAAGAATTGTTAGTTGCAAATTAATACAAATGTGGCAAATTATACATATACAAACGTGACTAATTATACAAACTCGAAGTCAGCCCATGTAATTAATGGTTAATGTTAGTCGCGAGTGGTAATTATAACAAACTATAGCTATGATGAGTAATTAAGTAGTATAAGTTTGCTTAACCGCGTAATTTTCCCAAATAATTATATGTTCATACCCCAATCCAAAGTAATTCAAGAAATACTCATTCTCTCAATAAAAAATACAGCCCATACCTCCCATTTATTAAGGTTGATAATTTTCGGTTAACTGATACTAAATCAGTATCATATACTGGATTGATATTATTAAGACTGATAATTTTCCTTAATTGATACTATATACACACACACACACACACACACACACACACATATATATATACACACACAAGTAAAATTGGTAATTTAAGTAAAATCGAGTTATTTTTGTTGATTTTAGATTTTCCATCCAATTGAGGAGTATAGGTGACAAGTTTATAAATGGCTAAAATAAAAACAATTTTATTTTAACAGTAACGGTAAAATCAATTAATAAATGAAAACTAAATAGGTATTTTTGACTATTTTCCCTAATTTAAACATAAACACAAAAATAGGGGCAAAATTGTAAATGACCCCTATTATTACGCAAACAACCTCTTTGTCTTCTTGTTCCCTTCAGTTTCGCTAACAAAGAAATCAATGATTTACAAATAAAAGACCGTCCAATAACATTACGCCACGTCAAACACCCATCAAATTCCAAAAACACGTCCACGTTCAATGAACCTGTATTGTCGTCTTCTTCAGGTGACATTTTTCTCTCCTATATATAAATCAAAGAAAAAAAAAAGCAAAATTTTACAAATTCAACAAAAACCCAGAAAGCGAATCCTTTGTTTTTGTTTGAAAAAATTATTTGCAATTGAAGATTTGTTGTTTGAGATTTGAGAAAATGGCTTTGGCTTTCACTTCTTCAAGTGTAATTCATGGTTCTCTTTCTTCTTCATCTTCATATGAACAACAACAACCTAAAGGTTACCCATTGCTCTTTTTCTCTCCATTTTTCAGTTTTTGCATTTAATTCTGTAAATGTGGTAGGGAATTTTCTCATCTGGGTTTTTTTTTTTTTTTTTTGCTTTGGTTCTCAAACTTTCAATTTTCTCACTTAAACTGTAAATGTAATAAAGATCTGAGAAGTTTAACATCTGGGTTTGTTATATCTTTGTTTCTTTTTGTTTGGGTTCTTAAAGTTTTAATTTTTACACTTAAAAGTGTTAATGTGATGAAGATCAGAGAATTTTAACATCTAGGTTTGTTATTTCTTTGTTTTTTTTTTGTTTGAGTTCTTAAAGTTTCAATTTTTACACTTAAAAGTGTTAATGTGATAAAGATAAAAGGGAATTTATCATCTGGGTTTCGTTTTTTGGTCTAATTTGCTGTTTTTTTTTTACAGTTTCACAAATGGGTATCACTCAGCCAATGGATCGGTCTCGAATTCCATTGAAAGCAGTGAATTTTACTCAGAGGAGTTTGGCTATGAAGCCATTAGTTCCATTAGCAGCAACTATTGTTGCTCCTGGTGAGTTAATTAGAATTTTAGTAATTTGTGTGATTTACTGCTAATTTTTGTAATGGAAATGATTTTTTATTTTTGTAATTTTTTGTGGGGTTTAGAGGTGGAAGAGAAAGCAGAGACAGATGATTATGAGAAATTGGCAAAGGAGCTAACAAATGCTTCTCCTTTGAAGATTATGGATAAAGCCCTTGAGAAATTTGGAAGTGAAATTGCCATTGCTTTCAGGTATACTTTGTTTTTTGGATTAGGGGTGTGTCCCTTTCCCGAACCCTGCTAATGCGGGATGCATTGTACACCGGATTACCTATTGGTGTTGATTTTTCTTATGCTGAAGATGCTTGTACTATTTTGTATCCAAATTGATTTAGCCTCTACTGGTAGTAAATAGTTTTGCGTCTTGTCTCTCCTGCTAGTAATACTCGTATGTCTCATTCGTACCATTGCTTATGTCTCCATAAATGTTGTGTTTTTGCTTTTCTTGAGCTGATGATCTATCAGAAACAATCTCTCTATGGTAGGGATAAGGTTTGTGTATACACTAACCTCCCTAGACCCCACTTGTGGGACTATACTGTTGTTGTTCTTTGGCCAAAGTATTGTCAAATAGAATACGTATAAATATGTAAAACAACTTTAATTTGGGAAACTAATGTAAAAGAGAAGCAGTAGCTACTTATAATTGGAAATGAGGAATGAGAAAAGCCTAAGGAAGAATGAGTGAGTAGTAAAAGTTTAGCATTGAAACCGAAAATAACAATTTGGGAACTCCAAATTTCAAGATTTTGGTGAAGAAAAATGGTCTGGTTCTGAATAGCTAATCAATAATTTCTTAGTTGCTATAAAATTTGTATGTTTCGAGGCTCTTTTATTGATGAATTACATTGGTTCAGGAATATTTCCGACTGTAATGCATGCATGCTTGAAGAGAATGAAATTTAAGCATTGTAGCGTGAAAATATTTGATCATGTTTTTTTAGTTTATGAAAACTGGTTCGTGTTCTGTTTCATAGGAACTACTCAATGCGGGGTATCCTATCTCCTAAATGTGTATGAACATTGCCAACTAGTTTCATTAATATGTTTCTCACTGAAGATAACTTATGTTGCATTGTAATTTGTTAATTTTACCAAATCAATCATCAGTTAATGCTTTGTGTGATGCAAATGCGATGAGGATTTTAGAGGGTCATCATGCTATTTCGTGTTTTGGTAATGTTGAGTATTATCCTGATACATCTGCTGTTTTACTTGTTTATCAGAAATGT